ATGAAAAGATGATTTCGGTGAACATTGAGTAGAGACACACAAACACATCAATTTGAACAACAGCATCTGTTTCATTGTTTCATTTATTGATTGTCATTGAGTTAATTAACTAATTAATTAATTAATTAATTAACTCACTCAATGATAAAACAAGCATCCCATGTCGATGCTATTCATACATTTCACAGTATGTGGCAACTATAAATTGACTTTGTTGTGCTGATAACGAGAATGATGGAAGGAGGTTACTTGGTATTATTCTTCATTCTTCAATTAATCAATATTGAACATTGATAATAGCGAAATTAATTAAAGGTTAAGTAAATTTACATGTCGAACAACTATAATTCTGTTAAGTTCGTCACCTAGGCACACTTGAAGCTATTATGAGTTCAGCTTAGTCGATAAACGCGAACGAGACAATGAACCAGAGTCCAGGTAGACTACCTTGATTCGAAAACGGCAAAACAGAAATCTTGATAAGCGTAGAAAGTATATTCTACAACACCCAGCAATCATACAGTTCAATTAAGCACACAACTCTCGTTTATTTATACATTATAGAAACGTCCTTGGGACAGTCCCGAAAATAGCACACCAAAATACACAGCAGCCAATTACAGCCATGGATTTTCCTGGTGGGAAATGCGATCTTAAGGTCAACTGATCAGCCCATGCTCGCAAATGTGGACTCCAAGATAGTGCATTTATCAAGCGAGTTCTGGGGGTCTAACATCTCCAAAAAATTCAATACAGTGGGTATATTTATGCTCATAGAGACGAGAATAGAGACATACAAATGATGAAAATGATTTTACAGTTGACTGCTGGAGTAGAATTAAACAATATACTTCATATTGCCTGGATGTTAACTACAGATCGCCTAGTGTGGTGAGAAACTGTCATGAGAATACTAAATTATCAGTGGATTGCGTTGGAAATCTCGTTGAACCGGATGAAATCTTTTGTTGTGGAATGGAAGTAAAAAAGGGAAAGAACATCAAGGTTACCGACCTAAATGACGAATGACTGTCTGCAAAATGGTCAGTTGCAAATAATCATAAACTGAGAGTTCTTCATCCCCTCATTCAAAAATTATTAGTGGTCAGAGCCTATAGCATTCACAAAGAGCTACCAGTTCAAACTCTATCATATTGTGTTAAATAATCAACGTATCACTACTTTTCATACTTGGATATGTTATTAATTATTGACATGAATGATTTGATTAAATTTTTTAATGCTGTACAATATAACTGAAACTTTTCACTGTAATTCATCAACGCTATCCATCGTACCTTTGCAAATATGTTTCTAAAAAAACAATAACTCTCAATTCTTTCATGATGCAAAGACCAGACAATTCTTCTTTGGAACTGTTGGGGACATCAGATCCCCAGAACTCGCTTGATAAATGTCTTAACTTTGAATTATATTCATGGGCTGATCAGTTGACCTTTAAATCACATTTCCCACCCGGAAAATCCTTGACTGTCATTGGTTGATGTTTTTGTGGCTCTTCCAAGGACGTTTCTATCATGTATAAATAAACGCAATTTGTGTGCTTGAGATCATTCGATTTTCTTGGTGCTTGTAGACTTTTTCTACAGTTAGTTGGGTCAACGGTGTCAGAATAGCCTATCGTGTCACTGTATCATTGTTTCGTTCTCGTTGATCGACTAAGGTGAACTCGTAATAATTGCAAGCATATCAAGTGACGAACATCACAAAAACTATCTATATATATTTGACTTATCACGTGATAAAAGTGTGTGATTTGTTGAGTATATATATATAAATAACAGATGTAGGGAATTTTATTGGTCACTTACACGCAAATGTTCTTACTCTTTTACGAAAAAGAATTGATCATTGAATGAGTTCCAAATAAATGAGTTGAATTTTCACATGATTATTAGGGCAAATAAACATCAAAAAACGAAAATTAAATGACTATTCTCAGTTTTTATTTTATTGGTTTTTGTGTTTTTTTTAATAAAATAGATTATTTAGAAATAAACGAAAGTTATAAGTTAGTGAATAGTATTTCAGTGTGAAATGCAAATGTTTCTTCTCATAAATATTGAATGGACTAATCTAGTTCTTGTTAACATAAATACTATTCAGTAATGATAAATAACACTTGTTTTTCCCAAATGATAATTAGGATAAAGTGTTTCTTTAGCGAATCGGTTGTTTAAGAGATGAGGTAGGATCTAAACTGAGGTTTAGAATGAGGAATAAATGTCTAGGTAGTTTAGATATGCACCTTGAAACTAAAACAAGTGTATCAGGTAAATAAATATAAATATACATCATTACTTAAGAAAATATAAAAGTTAATTTTAGCGAAGATATTGGATGACTGAGAGGTTTGAGTAATACTACAAATGTATTTTGCCGAATATGGGAGGATAGATCAATAGTGATCACTTATCGATTCAGATTCGGAACTGTAGGATCCAAACTAAGGTTTGGACTGAGGAATAACTGTCTAGGTAGTTTAGATACGCACCTTGCCCAGTTTCAAACCAAAACAAGTGATTTCGGTAAATAACGGTTCTTATATTCATCATAAATATAAATATACATCATTACTTAAGAAAATATTACCACTCAGTTATTCCACCAAAAATTATTCAATTAATCAAACCAACAGGAACAAAAAAATGTTATTCTATCCTTTCTGGATAGATCAGATTCCTTCAAAAGATAATATTTGGTTGCTTTATAACACAGAGTGCTTCTTATTCTGGAAGAGTGCTTCATTTCACAATCAAAATGCACAATTCCAGTCAAAGCAAGCAACACAATCAAAAGAGGAACAAATCAATCAATATGGCTGTCACCATGACTAAGTGTCAGCTTAAACAACATAAAATGCAGTTCAGAAAGAAACATAGAAACTCAGTAAAGGCAAAAAAAGAAATAGAAACTATAATAAAATACAAATATTATCATCTCAAAGATGGAACCAAACAGATTAATATAATGTACAACTGAAGGAATCTCAATAAGGAAAAATTACAGATGTATACATGGAGGGATTTTCACAAACAAAACCTTCAAAAATAGGTCTTACACCTATGCCCAACCGTTCTCCTTTTACCGGGTTTGTGAACGGCAATAACTACAGATGGGCTTCGAGTGAAGTAAGTAAGTAATTGATCATCATGAAACTGATTATCACCATTGAAATCACTAATCAGTCATCCTTAGACCACCATTAGAAACTTGTAAACACCAGATGGCCATTTCAGCAGTGCACATCCATAACATTCACTTTCGGGAGTCGAACTCAGGAACTCCCGTCCCGCCCCGATGGGTTGATAAACATTATATGGAAAGATCAAAAACACCAGAATCAGGTCATTTATTGTAAATCTCAAAAGTATAATTAATTCAGTGACAGATTAATCTTTATACATAAAACGAATGAAAATTGATCTGTTGTGTAAAAATTATCGATCAAGCCGGTTCATTGTTTCTATTAATTGTATCTGAATTAAATGAATAAATTTTAAAATCTTCTTATATTGCTTTAATATCTGATTACATTGACTGTCTAAACTAATAAAATGTAACTCGACCATCTCCAGAACCCCATTATATAATTTATTTGTGCTCACAAGTGACTAGCTCCGTGAGGAAGTTTCTGAGAGTTCTAGTAAGAAATCGTGACCAGGGGAGTTCAGGCCTGTTCGGGTGTGAAGCAGTCCTCACCGAACACAGTGTACGAGGTTGCGCAAGACTATGCATTCATCGAAGTCAGATATTAACACCGTTCGATTCCGACTCAGCGATTCAGAGGTTAGGCGTTCGTGCACAAGACCGAAGATCCTGAGTTCATACGCTACTAGGAGCAGGAGTCGTAGATGCGCACTGCTGATGAGTTCCATACCATCACGGCGATCTAATATTGATCGATTCATGATTTCTAAAAGTCACTCAACAATCTCCACAATCCCATAATGACAACTAATAATAGCACATTAATTCATTTCTGTTGGTCAACTGGAATCGTCCCAACGAAGCTGAGTTTAAGTGCCCGAAATGAAAATCAATTCTGCTAAGCAGCTTACGAGTCCCAAATAGGAGGAAACGCGCGCGCGCGCATCCCGAATTTCACCGTTAGCCATCTAACTGATATTCAAATGAAACCATTGTGTTCTATGCGAGTTTTTCCAATTTAAACTGGACAGATTTATCAGGGGGAAAAAAAAGCAATTCAACAGAAAACACACAACACATCACATTCTGTCAATTGTAATTTCTGTTGTGAATTCACTGAATTATGCATCAACTACTCCTTGTGTGTGTGTGTGTGTGTGTGTGTGTAGATTGTCGATCAATCAATCAGTCAACTCTTCACTCTCTATTTTATTATTATTATTATTATTATTATTATCATCTGTCATTGAGAAACAATATGAAAATGGAAATCTATTCAGTGTAAGTAAACCCAGAGGTTGATTTTTTTTTCTTGTAAAAGAACAAAAAATCCAACACAAATATATTATTGTGTTTAGAATTATGAGCATCCAAACTAACAAGAAACTTTTTGTTTTAACACACAACAGAGTTTTTTCTCGTATTTCTCTTTATGATTTTTATTTATCAATTCGACTGATGTGTCTTTTAGGTTTTTTGGCTTTGCTTTAAAGTACATTTGAATTTGCTACGCATTTACAGTACAGTAATAATAATTTATGAGAAATGTGATGAGTATGACAGGATAAGAAATTTCTACATTGAAAAACATACTACTACTACTACTACTAATGTGGTGCGCGCTACTTATAGGTAGTATATGACGTGAGTGTCAACGTAATGTCTGGCAGCAGAAGAGGATGGGGCAAGATCAAGAAAGGAAGAGTGGGAACACAATGGAATTTATATGAAATGCATGAATAAGTGAAATGTCAGACAATGGATTGATGATGGATTGATCTTTTTCGAATTAACGGTTTACGATATGGTTTACCTATTTTACTGAGTAGCTCTGTAATTTGCGACAAATACAATTCGGTTGCCCTCACTACTACTACTACTACTACTACTACTACTACTACTACTACTACTACTACTACTACTACTACTACTACTACTACTACTACTACTACTCAGGTAGTTAAAATAACAGTCAATAATGAGTTAGAACAGAATCATTTTTTTCATTATTCCAGTAACCAAGCAAATTTATTTATACAATTAAATAATTTAATTTACTAATTTGATACTTTTCATTTTTATTTGTAATCGTTCACTAACCTATGTAACAAGAATATATCTCTTTACTGTGTTCAATAACTCATCAATGTAGCGTGGTTTCAACAGTTGAACATTGATTATCGGTCGTAATATAGATGCAACTAAATCATTCTGAGTGATTTACCGTATACTTTCACCCGAGCCCAACAGAGTTCAATCCCCGTCTCCTACATATAGCCGAAGCCATAGGAATCCGACCATTCAGCCTCAATTTATGTGTTTAGAAGAAATTTGTGACACCTCTGTCCTTTCCTTGACCGGATATAACCAAATAAGCGATTTTATTTTGTTATTATTAGTATTATTTTCACATCCTGTATTCGTTGGTAATTTTTTGCCTCTTTCTGCTTATATTCTTCACTATCTAGTTATTTACAAACTTCTAATTACGTGATTTCAACAGTACACATGTCTTCCTACTATCAACTTGTACTTTTATGTGTGTAGTTACGTAATCTATATTTACACATTTGACATCATCAATCAATCATTGTTAGACCACCATTAGAAACCTGCAAGCACTGGATGGCCTTTTCGTCTTGGTATGAGACTCATCAGCAGTGCGCATCCACGACTCCTGCACCTCACAAGATTCGAACCCGGGACCTTCGGTATTGTGCGTGAAAGCCTAACCATCGGACCACTGGGTCAGCACCCAACAGTGTTAATGTCTAACTCTGATTGATCTAGGGATTTTGCGAGACCTCACCCATTTGTCTTCGGTAGTTACTGCCTACACCCGACAGGGATGAACTCCGAGAATTTCCTCACGAAGCTAGTGATTATTGACTACTCATTAATTGCCTCGACTGGTTTAACAGTTTCATATAAAAAAGTTTTAAATAAACCTATACTTGTTTCCATTATTTAATCAGAGATATAGGGAACTTGAGGGCTATTTCGAGGAGTTCTAACAATTACTCGTGGGATATTTGTGAAACAAATTTTATTAATGCAGTAAAAGTACACATTTACATATAATATTTATGTCACTTGACTTAGTAATTTGAAACTGAAGACTTATCGCCTTAAATTTGAAATCGTTATTATAAGTACCACTTGTTCAATCCTTATAACTCAGTAGTTTCATGTTATGCATTAAAGATGCTCATTTCCCGACAGGATCTGGTCAATAAAACCACGAATATCAATAACTGCATAATTTCAATATTTACAGACTTTTTGTTTTAAAGCAAGTAGATTGAGACTAGTAGTAGGATTCAGCATATGTGTGTGTATGTCTTATTTAAAACTCATCATGTAGATGTAACTGTCCTCTAGTATTAGTGTAGACATTGGTGCTCGAACCTACAACTACTTGCTTCAAAACCTGAACAAAGGAATTCACTGAGTTATCATATCTGTGTTGGCAAAAAACTGTTCAACAGATATGATTTCTATGTCATTAGTAGTAGGCGTTTGGATTATTTATTTGTTAGTTTTCAGGGACGAATTTTCATTAGCTGTTTTCGGAATAATGAGTATCCAGTATGGCATTGTCTTGATATAACCATTTTTTTCATGCATTTCGTAGAATATGAGGATTGTAGATGGCTATGGAGTAATGATATTGAGACCACGGACCGAAATAAGTTAAAAAAAGCTATAGAAAATCTGGAAGCACTAAATGGCTCTCTTTAGCAGTGCTTTATTTGTGACCCCTCAATTGAGAATCAAACCAACGACCTTTAGTCCTACGTAAGAATTCTTAACCTTTAGACCACTTAGCCGGGATCCAAAAATGTACAAGTTTGACAACCAGTACGATCCCATACTGTTGATCATCATGTGTCCACTCACTGATGACTAGCTCCAAGAAGAAATTTCCGAAATTCTAGTGGAAAGTCGTGACTGGTGAAGTTCAACTCAATCAACTGTAAAGAAGCTACCCCCGAAGGAAATATTAGATGATCATGCAATATCGTGAACTGGCTGGTGTTAGACTTGAACACTATAGGATCTCTGGTTCAATGATCTATCGGTTAAGGATTCATACGATTTCAGTAACCCTATCTCGATATTTAAAATCATCCTCAAATAGACTCAGATTTGATTTCACTTCTATGATTCTTTGGCAGTCAAATAATATATTGATTGGAAGACATGAATTAATTATTTGTAAATAATTCTCTAATTTTTGATACACAAGTGTAATAGATGGGGCTATAAACGCCTTTACATAGAGACAACTTTCTACCGTTACAACTATGTTTGATCATTGAGTACAGATCACTGTTCTGTTTTTGATTAAGCTGCAATGTAGCTACCAATGTAACTAACATAGCATTGTATATACTTGTTTGATCATGAACCTAGATGATACAGGTTTGAATCCCACTGGTAGTATAAATCCTCTTAAAGTTCTAGTTACATCTTGATGCTGATTGTAAACAAGGAGTAAACTTAAGTGTCGGGTTTCTCATCTACTTCCTCCAATTTCGTCCATCCTATCATTGACCGGTATACCGTAGTATGTTAACATAACTGTGTTGGGGATGTTAGATCCTCAGAACTCGTTTGATAAATATCTTTATTTTGGATTTATTTCATGGACCGATCAGTTGACCTTGAGATCATGTTTCCCAACAGCAAAATCTTTGGCTGTGATTGGTTACTGAGTCATTTTAGTGTGTTATTTTTGTGACTGTCCCAACGACGTCTATATAGAGTTTAAACAAACGCAATTTGAGTGCTTGGATTGATTGTGTGCTTGCTGGGTGTTTGTAGAATACAATTTCTACACTATATCAAGATTTTTTGTTGATTCAATTTGGTCAAGGGATCACAGTATCCTACCTGGACACTGGTTCATTATTTTGTTCTCGTTATTCGACTAAGGTGAACCCGTAATAGTTTTAAGCATACCTAGAGACGAGCATAACAAACTGGCAGCTCAACGTTATTCAGTATGCATGTATTAAATACAACAATTATCGGGTAAATTGACAATATCGCTGTTGGATGCCGGTTCGGTGGTCTGGAAGTCGGACGTTCACGCGCAAAACCAAAAATCCTGGGTTCAAATTTTTCGAGTAGCAGGAGTCATGGATACGCACTGCTGCTGAGTCCCATACAAGGCCATTCAGTGCTTCCAAGTTTCTAAAGGGTGATTCAACATTCTCCACAACCACATAAAACAAATTTATACTCAGCTAAAGCATCTTCAATGTCCTTTAAACAGGTATATAAAAAAAAATATATAGAACAATAACTGTAAAGCGTCTATTTAATGAAATGTTAACAATTGAAAATGTGTTAAAATTTCGTTTAATTTTCTATGCCATCAAAAATTTTTTTTAATTTTCATACCATGTGTGTATCACATTCAGAAGACAACAGAAAACAACAAAAAACCATTAGATACTTTTCATTTCGAACATTTCTTTCATGCTTGAATAAATTTTACTCTTTTTAATCATGAGAAATATATTGTGCACAAACATTAATAATATTGTTCAAAAGTATTTCAATTTGTAGTCAATCTATCATTGTTATCATTATTTAATAAGAAATATCAATTTACCTGTTTATCTATCTGCCTGTTTGACTTTCTTCTTTCAGGCTGATTTCACAATGCCATTTCATTGTACACTTTGTAATTTGGTTAAACCGGCAAAAAAGAATAGAGAATATACACGCACGCAGGCGCGCACACACACACACACCAGCCATCACATTGAAAACATGTGCGCGATTACGTAATAAATAAACAGGCAATAGGTATGATTGTTTGCTGTTCTCTCTCTTGACATCAGCTTTTGGAATGTCATCAACAACCACAATACAGAGAATGATCGTGTTCATTGATGCATCACAAAATATGATTGTTGTTGTCAATGTTTTATTTCTGAGTGATTCTGGTGGCTTCGTCATTTTTTTGATTAACCCACATTTACAACTAACTGTTCTACACTTTTTTGCATCAACTAGATAATTGTAGTGAACAGGTATACGAAACGAATTCAATAAGAATAAATGTATTATCATGTGTATTTTCAATGTGGAATTGTAGAGAACAAGAAAGGAAGAAAGGAAAAAAAAAGGATTGAACAAAATATGACTAGTTGACATTGACAATTGAAAGTATAATTGTTATGATCAATTGAAGCGTATTGAAACAACAATACACTAAACATATACACACACATACACCTACACATAAGTTGAGCTAACAAGTTTCGTTTCAATAAATTTGGCGCTGTGTTATATATTATAATTATTATTATTATCATTATTATTATTATTATTATTGTAAAGCACTAGTGTTAACTATCGTGGGAAGCAAGTAAACAATGAATAGAGATCAGTAATATTGAGACAGAAAGTTTGTGAAGATTGACTAGTTGTTGGGGACATTAGATCCTCAGAACTCATTAGATAAAGGTCATAATTTTGGATTTTATTCGTAGGCTGATCACATTTCCCACCAGGAAGATCCTTGACTGTGATTGGTTGACGTGTTATTTTACTACGCTATTTTTGTGAATGTCCCAACAACGTTTCTTTGATATACAAATAAATTCGATTTGTGTGCTTGTAAACCACATATTTTCTGGGCGCTTGCAGAATACACTTTCTAAGCCATATGAAGACTTCTTCATCTACTTAGTGGAGCATTGGGAAGCTCGGATTAGAGTAGCCTATCGTGTCACTGAATCATTTTTATTCGCTCTTGTTTATTGACTAAGGTGAACTCGTAATAGTTTCAAGCATATCAAGTGACGAGCAAAACACTATCATATTTGTATCATTGAGCCATTGAATTCTAAAGATATTATACATGCAAAATCAAATAAATACTGTGAGTTTAACACGATTGTAGTGGTTGTAGGTTGTCATTAATGAGCTGGAAATAAGGCTCGAGAAATTATTCCGCAATGCCAAAATAATCATTACTATAAAAGGTTATAAAATATTAGCCTATTTCTCATCGAAACACATAAAACACTGAATGCCTATTT